TATAATTGAAATTTTTGCTTCTTATCGATGTTACGGTGAGTCGCCATCTTGTTTGTTTATTTACGGCCCTAAGAGCATCATGAAGCCTAAAAACTCGTTGACCAATCCAAAAGCGGAACAGTTTTCCTGTAGTAAAAAGATACGAATGGCCATACTCTGTCTATAAAGGTACTCTAGCTACGACGCCTCAAGCAACTATTTCATCACAGAGGTGTTGCACAGTAGCATACGAAATTGAAGGCTGGAGTGCCTCGTACATTAACATATTAAGAATGACAGGCGTCCTTTGTCAAGATATTCACAAGACATCAAGACATTTTACATTTTCATCCAAAAACGTCGTGAGCAATTGGCGTTTGCATTTACATATGAATCAATCAACTTTGTGTCTCAATTGGTAGGTGGACTAAAACTTTCCTGCCGAGAAAACGCATGGACGTAAACTACTAAAACAGGTGCGCGGACAAAAAATCTTGAAAAAATGTCCTATAACCAGTGCCACTAATGCAATACTAACTAAAAATTTTACTGATTTTTCTTCTGATCTCATGCAAAAATTAGACAAATTTCGGGCTTAAATTGCACAGATAAACTCTCGTAAAAAATTGAATTGTTTGAATAGATTTTGCAACTGTGGAATGGAGTTACGCTCTTTTGTCCGGAATACTACGATATAATGCAATTTAGCGTAAACATCCAATTATATAGTTCGAACAAATAGCCGCGAGTTGATCGACGAATTTCATGAATGCTAATTATCGACGAAGAAAACTTGGAGGTGGAGACTCATCATTCAATGTCACTAACGAAGGATGAAGTTCTCAGAATTATCACGCAGATAACTGCGATTGGTGAACGTTACAATGCGCCGGTCAATGACGTCACGTCTGGTAATTTTCTCACTCGCAGGATAAAGGGGACTCGAATTTTTGACTGACATATTATTGAATAATTAATCGGGTATCGAACGAAAGCTCGCACTTTGCGAGAGAGGGTTGTCACCTTGTCCTGCCTGCCCAGTCCAGATTAAGAATAATGCTATCAACAGTTTTGTTTCGGAGTTTCTCAAGCACGCTGAGTATTTGTAAAGCCGCTCGGACTTCTCAATATTTTTTTGAGCACTGTACTCCAGCTTTTCACCACTTAACTCTTGCGGATAAACCCCTAACCTAGGTAAGAACCAAAGCACTCAACACATTACATTGCACTTTTTAGTTACATATTCTCTTTACAAAATGTTACGTAAAAAATGGATTCACACATCGAAAGTTTTGGAAATGTGAATGCACTCTTGAAGAGGATTTTTTTTTTCGGAAGGGCGGGGTGGGGTTGGATTGTGTTTTACCCATGGCTATTTCAAAAATGAGTTCCCTCATACCACAATTCATCGAGGTCGAGGAAGATATTGATGATGACCGAAGTCGAAAAATACTTATCTACCTCACAACTTACAAAAATGTCCAATTATGTTATCTTTTTTGTTTTAATTAAAAAGTAAGAAACCAACCAAAATATGTTCTTTAGGCGTCGCCCGAGAAAATGTTTAATCAGATACAAAGTCACAAAAAATTTTAAGAAAAACTGTTGGTTGACTGCCTTAAAGAAATAAATAAAGAAAATAAGTGGAGATTTGCAACGTAGCAATCGAAGATACGTATTTTTTTCAATGTACTTAGTTAAATGCCAAAAACTCTCTTGCAGTTCTTTATCTATACTATAAGCTCCGAGGCCTCCTAATTTTGCGAAACTGGTAACGCTTAGTTCCAGCGTTCTACCAAGCCGATTTTTATGATTTTTGCGGCTATCGACGGGCAATCGTCTCTAGATAAGCCAACTCTTTTCAGATTTTCAAAATATGGCCCAGGTTTTTTTATATTATGTGGTAAAGTTGCGAATTCTCCCATTTAAACAATGTAAATTTATATTTTTTGTCATAGTTCGTTTGAGCGTTCTACCGGGCCGATTCCCAAGTTTTTTGCGGTAATCGACGGGTAATTGGCCCTAGATGAGCCCGCTCTATTCAGATTTTGGAAAAAGGACCCAGGTTTTTTTACAATCACGTTATAAAAGTGAGTGAATTTTCAGAATGCTCCGAGACTGCTACCGCTATGCGCGGGAGGATGCGCAGTGGTCGAGGAGGTTGCGCAGTAGCTTTGTAGCCTGCGCATCAGCTCTACACTTATCTACACAAGATTCGCGGTATTTACCTGTAGACGAGCGGTGGCCGAGTCGTCAAAGACGTCGGAAGCGTCCACTCAGTTCATGGTGTGGGTTCGATCCCCGTTTCCCGATAAATTTAATTATTACCTGATTATCAATATTCGTTGTTTTACTGCAATATTTCATCAAGCAGTCATTCCAAATCGCGGCCTTTAGACTTAAAAAAAAATGTTTGTTTCTTTATTTATCAAAACCAAAAATTATTTCATTCTAAAAGTAAAGTATACCTCATATCGTAATTTTTTAGGGGAAAAATAAATAAAACTAACACCGATAGGAGGGTAAAAATAGGGCATAGAGTACATAGAGTCGTAATGTAAATGGGAGAGCTGGCGCCATGTTCTGCTCGACGGATTCCGAGCCCGGTGTGCGCCGAGTTCGGGTCGCTTTTTCGATACATTTTCGATCCAAAATGGCGGTGTGGAATACGTGGTAATTCCTATCTCCTCTGTTGTTGTTGTTGTTGTCATCGGATGGCCGGGTACCCGCGTATCGCAAACAGTCGATTATGTATCGAAAAAGTGACCCGGCGTCACACAGGAGTCTCGGAATTCGGGACATGGAAAACGCTTAAAAGTGGCGCCAGCTCTCCCACTTACATTACGACTCTATGAAATAGGGCCGCGAAGCGGCCCATTGATGGCGCGGAGCGCCCTCAGGGGGTTGGGCCGCGTAGCGGCCAGGGGGCGTAGCCCCCTAGTTTGATATGTGTTTCATATGATTTAGTGTCAAATGAACTTGTCAGTTTCTCACTTCAGAGTTTCTTTCCAAACTTCCCGAGTTTGTTGCATTTATCATTTCCCATAGGTAAAATTTTGAAAAGGAAACATGTAACAAAGTGCTCTATTTTATACCTCGTCTTGCAGCCTGTTTTATCATTGTTTTTACCGATCATTTTCCGGGTCAAAGTTTGAGAGGTTTCAAGCGTGTGTTTTTTTTCTTTTTTTTTTGAGGAAGTGCGTCACATTACAGTGGATATATTTAGTTCATACTACAGCATCAAAGCAAGGTGACTCACCTGTGTCAACATCGGTATTCACCGCAGGATTGTGGGAACTAAAAAATTGCACGGTTTCGTCGTTTCTCCTCACGAAAGAACGTATCCACATTTCGATGTTGCCAAATTTTCCTGCACATATTTCATTTTCACCGAAAGAATCTTAGGCATTCCTTACGAAAAATGTTACAGATTTTTCTTCTGGTCTAATTCAAAAAGTAGAAAAAAATTTAGAAGAAAATTGCATGGATACATCATTGTGAGAAATGAAATTGTTTGAGTCAATTTTGCGACCTTGGAATGGAGTTACATTCCTTAGTGCGGAAAATGACGAACTTTGTATATACACTGTAAAGTGAGGGGGAAAAACGAGACTTTACCAAAATATTGAGAAGGGTATCTACGTGGGGATAGGGGGTCAATAATAGTGCCATAAATCGACGGTGAAACTACCAAACCACGTATCTCGTTTGCAGTGTTTAAAAATCTACGCTCGCATTTTATTTTTTTGAAGTAGACCATATCAATATCATTCCTCGAAATTTTCACAGAATTTTCTCCGCACGAAGAGGAAAAATCACAGAAATTTTCAAGACTGGACGTTAAGTAGTTTTTCATTTAAAAAATAAAGTATGACAGGAAGTCTGCGACGTCGCAAACCGAGATACGTGGTTTGGTAGTTTCATCGTCGAAATATAACCTAGCCTGACCAAAGAGCGAGGGGAGAAAGTCTGACTTTGTATAATGACACGCTGAAATCAACAGATTTTTTTACCTCATATTTTCGATACTTACTTTCAACCGAAATACTGGCAAAAAATTATAATTTAGTGATGAAAAGGGGGAAGAAAGCAATCGGTGACGCAATTTTTCGGGGAGTGCAGATCAGCGCGACAAGCACATGATAAGAGAGAGGGGGTCTGAAATTCCCAACATCGTGATTTATTTAATACATGGACGACTCCTTGCTTGGTAATTTATCCGCAAGTCTGCAAAAAAGATTTCTCATTTTCCCTGCGCTGCGTGCGGCAAAAAAATTCGTTGCTCGAACAATGCTCTTTGTGGATTACAGGTTCTACTTATTTTCCTGGTCGCAATTACAATTTTACTTTTTAGTCAGGGAGAAATACGATTTGACTCGGAACAAATTGCTTAACAAACTTTTCCTATGTAAACGTCATCAGTAGGTCCTCCTGAACAACATACCAAAAGTTTATTTGTTATTGCAATTAGACCCGCCCCAGGAGTAATGCAACACCCTAGTAGCACAATGGGTGTCAAAAAAGTTTTAAAAATGTTTCACTGAAATCAAGAAACGTCTGGGTTAGGTTTATGTTCTGCCTCGTAATGTGTGATTAGTTTCCAATTTCTTTCCGATACATTTTGATTTTGATATTTTTATTTAAAAAGAAAACGTTTCTAAAACGTTTCAAATTTATATTAATGAAACTTTCGAAGTGTTTCGTGTCAATTACATATTTCAAAAATATTTTTTGAACGTTTCAGTGAGATGACTTTTGAGACTTTTGAGACTTTTGAGATGTTTCTGAAATGTTAGTGAAACAGCTTGCGCTACTAGGGGCATTGTCATTGAGACAGAAATATATGTTAAGCCAAAGTAACATTGTGACAATGACCAGAAAAATAGGAAAGACCTGACCTGAGAACAGCTCAGTCAATTTCCGGAGCAGCGCTTCTCTTTTCTTGGAGCCGGTGCAATATTTTACCGCAGTCCTATTACATAACATTACTGTGACTGCTTACAGCTATTTTTTCTGCGAAACTTTCGAGGAACCTTATTCGGGACCTGCAATTGCGTCTGACGGGAATCATGGTTCAGGACCCACGGTCCTTTTTTGGGTCCAACTCCTGTTTCCCGCAGCTCAGATTCTGCTGCTGCGGCTGCTCGCTAAGAACAGGCGTCCTCATCATAGGATGGTACACTGTGGTGAGTTTTCTCAGAATAAAATTTTGGGTTGAAAAATAAAAGCATTTGTCCATACCTAATGCATGACAAATTGTAACCTTTAATGGACCACTAGAAAAGGTACGAATTTAAGCAATCTGATACATGTTCCTTAACCAGAATTTTACGTAAAACACGATTCTCACAACGAAAATTACTGAAACCAACTCCTGACGAAGATGTTAACGTTTTTATTACACGATGGTTACGAGGAATTTGAACTGCCCGCTCACAAGAAACTCAAAGCTCTACGTGAGTCAAATCGCGCACTGTAACGGTTTCAGCAAGCTTCTCAATCGAGCAATGTTCATTTCCCACCATTGGTTGTTCAAACTATCAGCAATTTGCTATAGCTGGGCCAAAGCGTCAAAATTGAGGTTGCCAGATTTTTATATCGCAGAGACTGTCATGATAACGTTTAGCGCGCAATGTGAATCACGTAGAGCATTGAGTTTTCATGAGCGGGTGGTTTCAATGCACGCACCAAGAATCATTAAATATCTTCCTAAGGAGTTTAGTTCGGTATTTTGTGTTGCGCAATTCGTATTCTGCGTGAAATTTGGTTAAGAAACATGTATCAGAATGCTGAAATTCGTACTTTGTCTAGTGGTCCATTTGTATTTAATGGGGGATAATTTGACAACGTTCGATTGTTCATACGTCGTTTTCCTTTCACACTTCAGTAGATATATCTGAGCAGAGGATAACGATATCGGAGAAAATGCTTTGATGCAATTGGACTGCATTTTGCAATTTGGAACTTTAAATTCTGGCCCGGTTTAAAAACAACGTATGTGCCATTAGTTTCCCTGTGCACATAAGTGTTTTTTCAGATGAGCCAGAACTTATAGCTCCAAATTGCAAAATGCAGTCCAAATATTCGTGTGCTATGGACATCCGTGTTGCATTTTAAACATTAAAGGCGCTCTGGTCTTTCTATCGCATGAAACAGTGTTTGTCGCGACACAATGTAACACTTGGTGTTACACATCCTGAAAGTGGTGAGAAAATAGCCTTTCCTGTCCTATTGTCTTGGTTTTTATCAGAGAATTTCATTTTGCCACATATTTGTAACGGCGTGCCACATGCTGCTGCGTGCACTGTTTCATGGGCTATAGAGACTGGAGCGCCTTCCATTTTTGCATATGCAAGGCACGTGTCCATAGAGTACGAATAGTTGTATTCAAACTTTATTATGAACATCATTGAATGTGTTGCTTATGTTGACGGAGATATTAGCGTTAGAGGCCCCTTCTAGTCTTATTGTATCTGAGTATCGTTTGAATAACTAAATTAAAAAATCTTTCCATTAGGGATTGCTGAAATTGTGAAGTTCTTTGGTTAAAACACACCCTTCATCGAACATTTTTACTATCTCGCACAATTTCATCAGTTGCTCAATCAACAACAAATAACATTACCTGGTGAAATTGTCTCCCAGAAAATAAAAAAAGATCGATCATAAAGTTGCTTTTTTACGCAAAAATCCTTAAAGTATTAGAATTTATAATGGGTGGTAAAAGATGCAAACTTTGCGATACTCTTTTGCCAAAATGAGGTTTGAGCTCAAGCCAAAACTTTCACTGGAGAATTTCCTCATCATAAGCTTTCGTTCGAGATATGTTTGAACAAAATCCTTACATTTTCAAGAAGGGGCACGTGAAAGTCCTTCTTTACTTTGACAGGCTCTTTACTTCTTATCTATTTGATGGAAAAAAGTTACGCAGATAGATCCCCCAAAGCGTGGGTCAGTCTTTCTCGAGATGCCATTGTTCTACCGCTTCGCATCTATTTTGGCCTATCTTTTCAAATGAAGGCTAATCACACCATCAGGCTGATAATCACTGTTTTTAAATATTTCTTTACATTGATAATTTTTTTTAAACATTTTCAATAGGTAATAGGTGTGTTTTCGATGATGGGATCCTTGCCGGTTGTAAAAGGCCTTAATGACAGATTTCTCACAACTGAGAGCCCAGGTCAGTCTATCCCTATAGATTTATTTTTTTCGGTCAAGAATTAAATATTGCCTTTAAATGAGCCCAACCTGGGAGACTACTAATTGGATCGCGTTTAGAAAAAAGGAACCGAGCCACATCGGCTGTTGCCAAAATTAACTGGGCAATTTAGTTTTTTACAAGAGAACGTTTATGCGGATTCTTTTGAAAATTACAAAGAATTTGATTCGCACTAAGTATGTAGAAAATCACTGAACTTTGCACAAAAATCCGCACAACCGTCTCCATGTAAAAAATTAAATTACCCATTTAAATTAGGCAATAGCTGATGTGGCTTGATTCCTTTCTGCTGAATGCAGAGTCCAATTGTGAGGCTTATTGACCATTTATTATCATAAAATGTACCTGCTACAATACGCTTTTCGCAGTATCCAGCAAAAATCTTCAATGATACTTGGACGTATTTATGCTAAATGGACGTATTAATGCTAAAAGGAACTATGTGTATGGGGATTGCGTGTGACATAGTTCCTTTGAGCATAAATACGCCCAAATGGAACTATGCGGAAGTGGAAAGATGAGGTGTGAGAATGAGGGTGCTTGGGCCATATGGCCCAAGCCCCCTCATTCTTGCGTCAAGCGTCAGTGACGCAATATAAAGCTCTAGTGACGTCAGTGCGGGCTTGACGAGAGAAACGACGATCAACGACACGGTCTTTAACTCATGAGCCCTGTGCACAAGGCTCTTGTTACATGCCCACGGCTCACGAGTTAGCGCTCAGTTCCTTTTCATTTAATTGAAAATCCCGCTTTTCCATTTTCTCAAAAGGAACTATATCCACTTCTACATTGTTTCTTATCCAGCTTCCACGAGCACACCCCATCTTTCCACTTCCATATAGTTCCTTTTAGCATAAATACGTCCACTTATCGGAGGCGTTACCTATTTATTCAGAAACAGCTAAGGAAGGAAACACTTATAATTTGATTTTTCTTTCAAAAACAACAATATGAAACAATTTGAAGAAGGCGCGTCTAAAAAATGATGTAACCATACAAAATTACTCAAGATCATTCAAACTTCTAATTATTTGGGCATTCGAAACAACTGTATTTCTTACGAGTGCGTGCATTTACTGATGATGAATGGACGATTGGTCTTTTCTGCAGATGCAGGGCCGGATTAAGGGGGTGGCCACATGGGCCGCGTCCCATGGCGGCAAATTTAGGGGACGGCAAATTTTGCAATTTTTTTAAATGCAGGTACAAAAAAATCGGATTCAGAAAAAAATTACAAACAAGGAAAGGTGACAAAATCTCTCATTTTCTGAGAGTTCATTAATTCCTAATTTCGTCGTATTTCGGTGATACAAAAGACTGCGCACCTTTAATTAGTTGAGTTAAGAGAGACACCAAACACGTAATTTGGCCTGAAGCGGCGCGGCGCAGAGAGAAAATAATGACGAGGACTTGAGATGAAAAGGAGAAGCCCTCGACGCGGCGGTCGGCATGTAACACATATTAGCGCCTACGAGACTGCATGAATACTTCACGCATTGCGTCAAACACAGTACGGTCAACAGCGGTCGGCGCGGCGTGAAACGCACAGTGCCTACAAGACTACATGAATACTTCACGCATTGCTCCAAACACAGTGTGGTCAGCGCGGCACGGCGGCGGAAGTTAAAATTATTAAACCACATTTATGTTCGTTTTTTCTTAATTTTTCAATTCATTCTTTACAAATGAAAGGCCTCGTCCCCACAGAGACAGGTTTACGGAACTGAACGTTCGCGCGAAGTTCCGTGAACTTTCGCTAGTAGTGTTGACAGGGCTTACGAAAAAAATGTGTCCAACACGAGTGAACGCGTCTTATGCACCCTCTCCCTCCGGCACGTTCACTTGATGGTTTTTATTGATGTTTCAAAATGAATGAGAAGAGGGCGGCAAAATGAAGGCGGCCCATGGGCGGCAAGTAGGTAAATCCGGCCATGTGCGGATGTACTCTCCGATTGAAGGTGAGAAAATCGATCATTGATGCCTGGCCTCTCCGATTGGTCCAGGTAATTTTCTGTTGCACGGGGTCATTGAAACACTTGAAATTTATCCTCATTCCGTTGATGAAGCAAAACCCGATACGTTTCTCGCCAATATCATTCAAGGTAGGCCCATTCAGTCATTGAATCTGTGTTTCAACCCTCTTACCATAATATTAAAGAACTTTTCGTCGATGAGGAACAATAATAATGATAAAATAAGTCGTAGTTTTCAGTCGAAGGGTTGTACAGGATGATCCAGGGTTAAACGGCTAGACTGCAGAAACGTGTTCCATGGGTCAAAATAAAACTTTTTTGTTGTTTAACTTTTTTCCCCCCAAAAGTGCTCCCAATCGTAGCTACGGCGCCCCAAAATTACGGTAGGTAAACCGTTTCTTCCGAATTTTGGCAACGGCTGTGAACCTAATGTCTACGGAAAGTTTTACTGTCATGTAATTTTATGCCCTAAATTCATAGATGATCTAAAAAAATCGAAATCTCAATTTAAAGGAGGGGTTTAGGGGTGTATCGGCTCCTGCAGTCTGGCCGTTTAACCCTGGAGTACCCTGTATGATGGGGTTTTTTTTGTGTGTCTCCTCCCGATACATACACTTTCAGCCTCGTCCGAATTTCTAAAATTCAATCGACTCAATTTGTATGTGTCGTAGGCCGTGAGTCAAATCAGGCATCTTACTAAATACCTAGCTAGACAGCCAAATTTTGACAATTAATGAAATTTTGTAAATTTATGGCGAAGAGTTTACGAGTCTTCAATCATTTAGTAATAATAACTCATCAAATCCACGAACTCTTCTTCTTTCTTCCCCATTGCAAGTTTTTTATATATTTAAATTTAAAATTTTGAAAATTCTGTACATTATGACATGCTAAAATTTCAAGACAAATGTTCGATATCGAGCTTAAAATTTTTTTGAAATACCTATCATTGTATGTTGCTCATTCTTACAGAGAATTCTTTCTTGCAGGAATAATCAATTTTTTGTCTAAAAGTAGATGAAAATTTTTTTTTTTCTTGTTTAAAAATAAAATGAATCAAAATTTTGTAGTGAGAATGTCAATTTTCTAGTCAGCGCCATCATATCAACTAAGTCTGAGGGTAAAATCTAATTTGTTAAACAATCTACGGTACAATTAACACGACAACTGTGTTAGAAAGGTCAAATTGCCAACTCTAGCACACTGAAAAAAATGGTATGCTATCTTAGCACCTAGGATATAAAAAATGTGTCTGGTTATCCTATGATGCTGTTTTGATTGCCCACGCAGTTGAATTAGCATTCGCAGGATGTAAAGTTAACTGCAAAGGCAGTAATGGCAGCATATTGGGATCATCAGACCCATTTTTGACATTCTCGGTGCTAAAACAGCATATTACTTTTTTCGGTGCAGATAGAAGAGGCATCAAAAGTTTTTCCACTTGATACGATTGAAGCTATGGGAAATTGATTTCGTTGAGTTTGCGTGTTTCCAGAGCGAAAGCTGGCGATATTCGTATGGGCGATGGATTTCATCATCGATGGAATTCTGCTCCGAGTTGCGGCCGCAATCCTACTGTTTGGAGTGTATAGTGTAAGTTTGAATCGAATAGGCATTTTATGCGATTCCATCCGGCAGATGTTACTCATTTAAACTTTTTTAGGTTTCAAAACTGACATTTAGATTAAAGTGTCAGTGCCATAGTTAAAAATGTACTCAATTCCATCTCTGTCACTTCGGGTTGCGTCGTTGGCAAAATTGATTCCGATGAAAATCCGAATTTTCTGAATTCCATGTCTAATAACGAGTCTGTTGCACGGAAGAGATACAGTACATTTTGATTTTTTAGAGGTAAAATGGAACGAATGGGCTTTTCAAAAATGTCTGAAATCCACTCTTTAGTGGTATCTGAGTAGTTTGGAAAACAGCTTTTCAATTGGACTACATTTTGCAATTTGGAACTATAAATTCTGGTCCGGTTTAAAAACAACGTATGTGCCATTAGTTTCCCCATGCACATAAGTTTTTTCCAGAGGAGCCAGAATTTATAGTTCCAAATTGCAAAATGCAGTCCAATTGTCCCGCGCTTGAGGGTAGTTCTGCCGTGTTAAGGAAGAACGCCGTATGAACATTCAAGAGTTGCCAAATTTCCTTCGATAAAATGTTCATTTTTGAGGAAAGTTATGAATGATTTTCCTTTACATTTTCAGAATTTTTAGGTAAGATTGTGAACTAAATTGTCTGAAAAATTGAAAGAAAAATATTTGTAAGTTAACCAGGAAATCCGCGTTTTATGAACCGAAATTTGGCAACACCTGAAGGTTTATACGGCGTTTTCCCCTAGCGTGGCAGAGTTTCCCTTGCTGTCATACCAATAAAAACGCCGTATGAGCATTCACATGTTGCCAAATTGCCTCTCATTTGGTTAGGGAGAAAAATGAACATTGAGCGTTGACCTGTAAACTGTCTGTTTTTTCAACGGTTTGTTGCAGAGTAAACCGAGGTGTGTGCTTCTGTACCTTATTGTGGCCGTCGTCAGCGCCGCGAAGCTAGGAATTGAAATCCCACTGGTTGCCCTCACGAACATTGGCAAAGTGAAGGTTCAATTTTCGTTTCTTGACGTCTTCGTGCCGTTGCTTCAACATCCAATCGCATTATTCTTTACTTTCAGTAAGTGACCGGCTGTGCTTTTCATGAGTTGCCAAAATGCTTTCAAGTTAGTTAGGAATCATATGACACGTCCCTAGAAACATAAACGTAAAAAAGGAATCGAAAACGATAAACGCTAATTTTTGCCGAATCCTTCAAATCTTTTATAATGATGTAAAAAATGAAATAAGTAAGTAATTAAGATATTTTTTTCAAAAATTAAAACTTAAAATAAAGACAACATAAAGAAGTCATAAAATAATTTGCCCGGCAAATTGGGATGCCCAATTAATCCGCCGGGTCAGACATAAAATTAAACTCAACTGATAATAATAGAAAAGAGAGAGAGAGAAAAAAAAGAGTGGAAAAATAGATAAATAAATAAATAAATAACATAAATACATCGACATAAATTAAAACTAGAAAAAGACCCAAACAATGAAACCTGGAAAAAGACACAGTTATCGAAAACAGTAATTTGGTAAAAAATAAAAGAAAGAAGGGGGGGGGGGGGAAAAGAAAAAGAAAAATAAAAGAGAGGGTTAAAAAACAGAAAGTTAAAAAAAATGAAAAAAATGAAAATTTGAAATACATGAATATGAATATCTTGAGTACAATTAATAATGAATTTGAAACACAAAATACACGATGAAATAAAATAACAAAGGAAATGGGAAAAACACAAGCTCATTATAGAAAACTATTAATTTAACCTAGAAAAAGACACAATTATAAAGTAAAACATTGATTACATACCAAATTTGAGAGAGATCAAAAAAAAAAAAAAAAAAAAAAAAAAAAAAAATGAAATACCTACATCAATTTAAATATTTTAAATACGATTTGAACATATTAATACATTTGAAAATCTTGCATTTTTACAATTTTTACCTTTTAAAATGCAATGTATGCTATGAATAGGTATACAGAATTTTTTCCATTTATCATATTTTTTTGATGAAGTTCACCAATGTGCACGGAGAAGCTCCTAAAATTATGAAATGACGTTTTTAGGTAAAAATCCCCAGTAAGAGTTCCTTCACACATTTTAACATGTTTTTCAAAGTATTCCCTCTTTCAATTTTTGCAGGTTTTACAGCTGAATTTTTTGTGTCCACCAGTAAATCTCACTACTGTAAGGAACACTAATCCATATTTGTGTTTCAGTGTTGACTCTTTATTTTATCATGGTGACCAACAGTTACTACACAGAAATGGAGTCTGCCCCTCCAAGAAATAAATGTGGAACAGGAGATTCAGAAGACAGGACGCGTAACGCTTGAAAAAAGATTCTTCAAAGCACGAAGAATTCGATCACTCCATCCGTTCATCTAAATGGATTGCTCAGACCCCTCATCCCTCTTACGTAATTGTGATTATGATTTTAAGGAGAAGCTTTTTCTGCGATCGACAGTTTTGAATCATTGTGAAATTTAATCCTTGTTTTTGCATTCAATAGTTACACTCTCTGGGGAACTGAAGGGTGCTCATTGTGCTAAGGTTTCTTTCTACTTGCTAGTTGCTAAATGGACGTAATTCTGTCAAACGGAACTAACCGCCATGGAAAAGCATTGCGAGTATAGGACGGAATAGGCTTGACGAGGTCGCTACCGCCCCTAGTAATACTCGCAATGCTTTTCCATGGCGCTTAGTTCCGTTTGACAGAACGCGCTGTCAGGGATTCTATAAAATCCTCAAAAGGAACTCTATTTAGCGCTTAGTTCCGATTGACAGAAATACGTCCAAATGCAATTAAGTTGTTGGTTAAACGCAATCAATTCGTCCGCTGTAGAGAAATGTTCCTTAATTCGTCTAAATTTAGATATCAATGTCCGAAATGTAAGACCCGTATCTCCATTCTGCCGTGCTAAGGAAAAACGCCGTATGAACATTCAATAGTTGCCAAATTTCCTCCAATAAAACATTAATTGGCGCGGATAGTTATGAGTACTTCACTCGGAAATGTTCAGATATTTAAGATCAGATTGCCAACAAAATTATCCTAAAAAATCGGAGAAAAACATTGATGAGTTTCCCAGAAAATTCCGGTTTTATTAGAGGAAATTTGGCGGTTCAAACGGCATGATTCCTCAGCAGGGCAGCATTGGGGTGTTTTGAAATCTCAGCTCCTGTTGTATATTTATAAAGAGGAACAAGCCATTAATATAGCTTGAAATTTATATAGAGTATTCCGATAAAAGAGAAAAAAATCAAGGAAGTTTTCGAGTAACACCATCGACCAGTTTTCTAAGGAAAAAGTAAAGTATGACAGGTCTGTAACGTCGCAAACGGAGATATCGACGGCGAAACTACCAAACCACGTATCTCGGTTTGCGACGTCGCAGACTTCCTGTCATACTTTATTTTTTTTATAATGAAAAACTACTTAATGTCTAGTCTTGAAAATTTCTGTGATTTTTCCTCTTTGTGCGGAGAAAATTCGGTGAAAATTTCAAGGAATGATATTGATTTGGTCGACTTAAAAAAATAAAATGCGAGCGTAGATTTTTAAACACCGCAAACGAGATACGTGGTTTGGTAGTTTCACCGTCGATATGTGGTTTCGCCTTGGGCCATTGATATGTCCCTACTACTTAGTTTAATTCAATTTGAGGTGTAGTGTGCGCGTGGAATTTTGAAAAATCCACAGAAATTAATTATGCATAATTTGGTTTGGAAAAATCAACACCAACAATAAAACACACACATCCGTAATGAACGTGAGTATGACGGCAGTTTGTCTTTTCAATTGGAGGGAGCAACTAGTGCCAAAACAAGAAAAACAAAAAAACTGACGAACCTATTCGCTTTCTGCTCATTGAAAATTTATTAGTCTACATTTCTATTTCTGATGAGCATGTTTAGTGACTCATATTAATAGTTTGGGGGATATTTTTTTACTAGGGGGAACGTCTGCTCGTGCTGTTATAATTTCTGGGGTTAAAAGTAGATTTCGTACATACTGTAAAAAAGTCCAGCATTATGATTAAAAAGAACGCGGTATTCATCACACATCTCGTAAGTATTTGGATGTATGAACCTTCGTATTAGTTTTGTTTTATTCACTGCAAAAAACTGTTATCATTGGTCTAGATTGAAGTTGTATAATTAGTTTATAATGCACGGAAGTTTTGGTTTAAAAAATGGTCTCTACCAGGTATTTTTATGTTGCGATGAATTGCGTACACGAACTCAATCCTCAAATTCTGGGGTAGCCATCATAAGAAATCAATAATATATTTTATGCGAAGCCAACCCCTGAGAGTTTCGGAAATTATCATTTTCAAGTAGGCAGAATCCATTACAATGTAAAATCTATTTTAAAGTTTATCAGATGTTCTGTAAAACTGGATAAAAATTAGACACGAATATTTCCGGGAATGAGCGTTCCAACGATGAAAGAATTACCATGTCCAGGGAAATGCAAATAAAAACGGAGAGATTTTTCGTTTGTAAATTCAATTTATAAAAAAAGAAATATAATAAATCGAGATGAAAAACTTAAATACTAAGTCTATCTCTTGTGCATTATTTGTGATTGCCACTACTATTTTTATAATAATAAATTACTAACTTACTTATGTATATAAAACTTATTCGATTGATGGTTTGTAAATGATGAATATGACATTTACTCCGAAGGATGTTGTCTGTATATACTGTGTAAGGTCCTAGAAATAACATTTAGACTACGAAAATCTTGTCAGAGAGAAAGAAGTAATCTATTTGAAAATAAAGCGAAATATATAGAGTCAACAGGCAAAATTTTAGGTAACATACGCATGGGACTTGGTTTAGATTCCCTTTTACCTAACTAAAAAAATATAAAATAAAAGTGAAGGTTATTTGCGAATATATAAGAAATTCGTAAAGAAGAGGAGACGTGCTAAGTCACATGCGTGGAGAGTCGGTAGAGTTCCAAAAGAGCGAATGTCCAAAGTGCGAATGAAGATTTGCGCTTTTTGTAAAAATCGGTGATAGTTTATGCTATCGGAATAGTAGTCAGCGCTGGATTAAGTTATAAAGGGCAGGAGAAATAAGCGATGCACCCGCAGATTGTATCGCATGCGACGGACATTGGACAAAGTCCATTACAACGCTTGGATACAACTATTCGAGCTCCACGGATGTCCAAATTGCATATGCACGGAGTTGAAGGCGTTCTGACTTTCCAGGCACCCGCGGCTTAGCCGGCTTGTAGCACAACGTCGGCGGGACAGCTTCTGGAATAGAGATGTTGGATGTGTGAGGTATTTGCGATTTGACTGTTGATTTTCATGTAAAAGTTCGCGAGAAACACGATGGTGCCACTGGTTTTCTCTGAAATTAACTCTCAAGCTCAAAAAAAGCTCTCAAAGTGAGGCCAAAATGGAGGGGATATCCCACGCTATCCTGAGAGTCCACCTCTACATCAAGACAAACTCTCCATGCAAAGATAGGGAGAAAATACATTGACAGGGCTGCCACTTTATTTGGGGACTCTAAAACTGAAAACATGGCAACCCTGCTAATGTATTTGCTCCCTGTCTTTGCATGGAGAGTTCGTCTTGATGTAGAGGTGGACTCTCAGGATAGCGCGGGATATCCCCTCCATTTTGGCCTCAATTTGAGAGCTTTTTTTGAGCTTAGGAGTTGATTTCAGGGAAAATCATTGGCACCATCGTGTTTCTCGCGAACTTTTACATAAGAATTAATTGTCAATTCGCAAATTCCTTACACATGCAACATCTCCATTCTTAGTTTATGCTAGGGAGGCATCTCTTAGGCACGAATAATGGGTCACAATACTATGAACGAATTTTGACTTGCGAATACATTTTTCTGAAGATAAATCACTCGTAGAACACGCGCACATTGAAAACGTAACTCAATAACCGAGAAATACGCAGTTTAAATCGCTCAACTCATCTGCAAATTTAAAACGCCATGGTTTCGCGCCGAACCGAATGATGACATCAGGCACTAATCAGATGCGAGCTCGGGTTTCTACGCCTTCAGCCCGTATCAGACGGTCAAAGTAGAGGCTTCAAAGAGGTTCATCGATGCCTTTCCTGGCCCTCTCATTGGCCAGCGGTTCAAGTCGGGGCAATCGACGAGTCTCTTTGAAGCCTCTACTTTGATCGTCTGATACGGACTTTCTGCCGCAAATGTCTATCTACTCCTCGTCCTCGTATATGAGAACAATACTAAGGTCGAAATTATATCTTTAGAATTAAAGAATCGAATCTCATTTATACAATCTGTAGTAGAAAAACCACTATTCCACATTAAATTACGTTTTATTTTAACGAACATCAGTGCGAAAAACGAGAGGAGATTGCGATTTGACTACCGCAGTGCATCACCACCGTTAGTTTCCTGCCATTCGGGTGCGTTTGAAATGTCTTGCGGTTTGTGGATTTTTCAAAAGCAGTTTTCTTTGCAATTGCGGCTCCATTAAAATGCGGAAAAATCACCACATTACCTACTCACCTATTGCGTTCAGAATACTGAATATGATAAACGGTGTTTAGTGACCCATTGAACGCATGTGTAGGATGTGAAAATTTTTGTGCTTCAGTTTTGATTCCGCGATAAGCCGAGCATGATTTGTGGAGAACTACTTGTGCCTTCGGGATATCGTCATGATATAAACGAAGAATTGAAGGCACTCTGTTAAATTGGACCCCCGTAGTATAGCTCGTCCCAGCGCTGCGGGTGAAGTGGCAGGTGCGTGGAAAGTCAAAACGCCTTCAACTCCGTGCGTATGCAACACGGACATCCGTGGAGTTCATATAGTTGCATCCAAGCGTTATAATGTTAGTTCAACGTTCAACTATGCGATACTAACTTCGGGCGCTTCATTTGTTTCTCTTGTTGCTCTTGTTCGCCGCCGATTGTGCCGATGAAGTAAATAATTATGACTGATTTTTACCGGGACTTTGTCATTTTTCCGAAAACTGCTATGATTGTTTAAATCTATTACAACAATGCCGGCACTCAAAAATGCAACATTTTTGAGGTACCCGAGGAAGATATGTAGAGTTTCCTTTGACCTTTTCTAACGGGTCGTTCTTTGTTTGAATTTCTTTCCTCTTTTGGGAGAGTAAGTTCAGCGTTCAAAAGCAGGCCTTATAGTTCCTCACATAAAATCCTAGCTAGGGCGTTGACAAAAACCATCTATGTTTCCTCTTCGGGAACTTAGGGAAAGTATCATATAGATTACATTTTGCAATGAGGAGCCACTATCTAGCGCTCTTCCATAAAAACACATATCTGCATAGAAAAACCAATGGCATATATGTTGCTTCTTATTTCAGCGAGAAATAGTGGTTCCTTTCTGCAAAATGAAGTTCATATGGTCTTCCAACCGAAGACAGATGGCAGAAATGTAACGTTCCAACAGGACTGCATTTGTGATTTTTATCTTTTCAGATTTGCTTTATTTTACTTGCACTAAATTCAGTGAGCAGCGGGGCAGGACCGCCAAAGGTAAGTTTTATCAAAAAACAGTTATTTTCCTTCAGTTTAATATTCTTCGGTAGCTCCAAAAATCTTTCAATTAGCTTTTAAATTCTCTAACATTAAAAAAAGGGGAAAACTCTCTTCGATTGCTGCAAAAATCATGAAAATCAGCAGGGTAGATATCTAAAACAAAACGAAAATGTATATTTTTTACAAGAGGTAATTCGCAACTTTAACCCGCATTATACAAACAACTCGGTCATATATAAAACAATCTGAATAGTGCGGTCAGATTTTGATGATCCTAGCGATATTACCACCGAAAAATCGATAAAAAATCGCGACCTAATTACAAAATATTGCAATTGACCACTACAAAAGGTTCGAATTCAAGCATTCTGATACATGTTTCGTAACTAAAATTTCACGTAAAACACGATGCAAACAACGAAAATTACCAAAATCAACTCCTTACAAGATATTCAATGATTCTTGATGCGTGAATTCAAACCACCCGCTCATGAAAACTCAATGCTCTACGTGATTCACATCGCGCGCTAAACGTTATCATGACAGTCTCTGCGATATAAAAATCTGGCAACCTCAATCTTGACGCTAGCTCAGCTATGGAAAATTGCTAATAGTTCGGACAACACATGGTGGGAAATGAACATTGCTCGGTTGAGAATCTGTCTGTAACTGTTGTGGTGCGCGATTTGACTCACGTAGAGCTTTGTGTTTCTTGTGAGCGGGCAGCTCGAATTCCTCGTAACCAATGTGAAATAAAAACGTTAACAACTTCGTTAGGAGTTCGTTTCAGTAATTTTCGTTGTGTGAATCGTGTTTACGCGAAATTCTGGTTAGGAAACATGCATCAGATTGCTTAAATTCGTACCTTGCCTAGTGGTCCATTAAATCGCGATTTTGTCGACAGCTATTTATCGCAACATTATCGAGCAAAAAATCTTGATAAATTGAGATAAAATTTCGATTTTATGAAACGCGATTTTAGAGACATAAAATTTCGACAAAATCAAGGATAATCGCTCAGATTTTGAGGACCCCAGCGATTTCACCACCGAAAAATCGATAAAAAATCGCGACTTAATTTCAAAATATTGCAATTTTGCTAATCCTTTGTTTTCTTTATCGGGAACTACGTGATTGACTTACTTACTTTCTTTTTCGCCCGATGAATTTTCGGTTGTCACTATTTAAACTTAAACTAAAAGTTTAAGTTTAAATAGTGACAACCGAAAAATTCATCGGGCGAAAAAGAAAGTAAGTAAGTAAATTGCAATTTTGCGTTGAAAAATGTTACTTGTGTAATGGAACATTTCTACTTATCCATATCTTTTGGACGGGCCAGATTTGCGGGTTACTTTGCGCGGAATCGATGATGGTGGTGGTATAGGGTCGTCATCCAGTATAAACGGGGGTGGCGGCGGGGGAACCGCAGTCCATTTCTCGTCCGGCGAGCTTCCACCATCGGTCGAAGACCTCCCTGGGGACAGCGGGGGTGGCGGCGGCGGTGGAACGGGTACCCAGCCATCCCCGGAACTAACGCTATCCACGGAGGGTCTTCCAGAGGAGGGGGCAGAACCCCACGAACCTGCCCTTTGATGTCGGGGCTGAGAGGAGCTGGCGACACTCTTCCCTTTCGGGTCCTTCGCTGGGGTTGCTGGCGGGACAGACGAGGTCCTGAAGCTTCCTCTGGAGTCAGATCTGCGGAGAGGATTAGAGGGAACGGCACTCTGGCCCCTCGTCGATGTGGAGGACCTAAGTGGCCCTTCAAGGTCTCGTCCGCTACGACCAGAGGGACCTTCCACGGGTATTCCCCCGCGGTGCCAGTTGGTTGACATCGATCGCTCTGTGTTCTCCAAATACTTTTTATTTCTGTAAGCTTCCAGCGAGTTCTTAATCACGCAACTGTAGATGGAAATCTGGAAAACGAAGAGGTGACACAGATCGTATTCGACACATCAAACAGGTGAAATGGACGTATTTCTGTCAAACGGAACTAAGCGCCACAGAGGGAGGAAGATAGAAGGGGGCTTTGATTGGCGGCGGAACCGGGCGTCCGGCTCATTCCGTCCTATACTCGCAATGCTTTTCCATGGCGCTTAGTTCCGTTTGACAGAACGCACTATCAGGCATTCTAAATTCCTCAAAAGGAACTCAAATTGGCGCTTAGTTCCGTTTCACAGAAATACGTCCAAATTAGAGTACCTGTATAGCGAGAGTATGAACAGATCGCATCATGGAGGGCTCAGGGCCCAAAAGTGCTGCCACCCTGCTAACCAACTTCTAACGCACAAAATTTCACTGCCAGTCTGTAGATTCCAATTCTAACGAAGATGGCTGAGAAAGTACATAAATGAGCGTTCCTCCACAAAAATGAGTAAATTTATTCAAAAACTAAGTCAAATACGTGCTTCATAAACGATGGTTCGTAACAATTGTGTTAATAAATCGCTATGGATAATTGAAATTCATAGGCTGGCTGCATTTCTGAGCCCTAACTTTATTCGCGGAGGCATCGGTGAAGGCCTGATGGATGTTCGGAGTTCCACATCTGTCTATACTCTCGCTATACAGGTACTCTAGGTGAAATCGTATCGATATCGATTTGGTTCTACACGTGAACATAGCCTTGGAGGTAATTTTTAAAATCTGAGGTAATCTTTTGGGGTTGAATTTTTATCCTTTAGAGTACCGAAATGGCAATGAAAAGTGAAATTGTTAGGAATTTTCTAATTACAGCTTTTCCAACTTAAACCCTACATTCTTTGTTTTAAATTATGTTCTATTGTTTTGAGCCGAACGATACATCGAACCACTATCGACTGCGACCCATAACGATGTTTTCCGGGCAAGAGAACGTAACCCCATTCCAAGGTTGCAAAATCGACTCAATAAAGAACTCGACTCCCAGAAATGCTAGGATTTTTTTGTTGGGGGGGGGGGGGCATTTTTAGGGGCCACGATGGCGCAGAGCCTTCATTTTTCAGGCGCCATGACCGCATTTGGCGCGTTGGCGCCTGTGAGTTTCAAACACTGGCCCTGTTACGCATATCGACGGTGAAAGTCGGCAATCACATAACTCGGTTTAATTTATTTTTTAAACGGAAAACTACTCAACGGCAATTCTTTAAAACTGCCGTGATTTTTCTTCTCTGTGCGAAGAAAATTCTGCAAAAACTTCAAGGAATGATGTCAATTTGTTCTCTTTTAAAAAAATAACATAGAGGCGGATATTTTCAGACACCGTAAACGAGTTATGTGATTGCCGACTTTCACCGTCGATATATTCTTATGGATCTCGGGGCTCATGTCTTGATGCACATAGTTCCGTTTGACAGAAAAGCGTCCAATTAATACTCACCCTTTTAGGTGCGAAGCACATCATCAAGGAGGGTACCTGCACCGAACACTTAATCTCTTTGCTTTTTCTGAACATAGAATCGGTGGTAAAGGTGCATGCGGGAGTTGATCCTCCTAGGCAATTGCCTTGTTCGTAATCAGGCAATTTGCTCAACAGCTCAAAAATTTCCTTGCAAAGAACGTTAGCGTCGAACCTCCTTCTCGTCCATTCATCCACTGTCATTGACGTCAACCCGTTCGTGAGATCTATACAAGGGTCAGGCTCGATTTTCTCTAGCAGCCTCTGGAAGGTCTCATCCTTCTTGTAGGGAAAAGAGGATATTGTTAAGAGCGTTCAAGGATTACGTGACGCAATTTTTTTTTTTTTTTTTTTGCAAGTAATGAAATTTCTTATTAAATATTCACAAATTGGAACTAGCAGAGACAGGTGACTAGCCCGAAGGCCTATCTAAGTACATTCTAATTTTGAAGATAAAAAAAGAAGAAAACTTTCAAGATAAAGTGAACTGGATTACATAACGACGGTGAAACTACCAAACCACGTATCTCGTTTGCGGTGTTTAAAAATCTACCCTCACATTTTATTTTTTTGAAGTAGACCAAATCAATATCATTCCTTGAAATTTTCACGGAATTTTCTCCGCGCAAAGAGGAAAAATCACAGAAATTTTCAAGGCTGGATGTGAGGTAGTTTCTCATTTAAAAAATAAAGTATGACAGGAAGTCTGCGACGTCGCAAACCGAGATACGTGGTTTGGTAGTTTCACCGACGATAAGCGGTTCTACGGGGGTGCCAGTGGGTGCCGGGCTACCCCCGAGCAAAAATTAGAGAAAGACAAAAGACATTATTGAAGAGCTCAAGAGGGTGGTGCCGTTTGAACGGAGAATGCACCTGTGACGTCATGAATGAGCATTTGAGGGTGAAACTCTTATTTTTTTTAAATACGTACATAGTTTATTCCCTCGAAAATTGAAGTGCACGAATGAATATAATTACCTTTACTTCTATCGTACTCTTTTATCTTCTACCTTCACCTCTATTTATTGCTGTTTTAACCAGGATGGAATTTAATATAAAAAAGACCAAATTACTGCTTTTGAAGATTCTGTATATTCGCTCACGCTGAGAAAAAATCCCAGCAATTAATTGAAAATGTTTTGAACAGAATTAATATTGATAGCCGTGTTTTACAAAGATTCTACTTTTTCCTTATGGTAAGATTGTAGTTTTGACGGAAAGTTTTGCTAAAAATTTTCTACATTGAATTTATAGGTATTTAAGTGGAAAGGAAGGAGAGGAAAAGAGAAAGGAGGTTAGGAAAGGGATAAAACTTGAGGGCCGAAACTTAGGCCTCCCCTGAGCGACCGTCCCCTTCGGGGCGGGTCTCCGACATTTTCCACCTCTGGGCACCCCCAAGCATGAAGGTCTAGAAACGCCTATGCTGGATTAAATAATTGGTCTTAATCTGAAGCTGTGATGGTGTCCCGGAACCATCTGCAGGTACTACATCGGGATGGGAGTTATTAGTATTCTTTACTGAGTTAGTTAATCCTTTATAAAATTTGCTCTTAGTCTCTAGAGTGTCTTTTACGACTGTATATAGTATTTGCCAGTTTTCCTTATTTTTAAGCATTAAATCTAA